TGCAGCTGTTGTCTAGGGAAATAAGTATTTTCATATTAAATATCACTGATGATTATTAATATAGTGATGGTTTCTGTTTAGATAAAATTCTTTTAAACGACTCAGGTTTCTGAGTAAATGTCATTAAATTAGAACAGTTTGGGTGTGTATATAGGAGGATTATCATTTAAAAAGTATTCACATAAAACAATGAGGAGTGATAGCTATTTGTAAACAGTTGAATATTGGAATATAAAATCACTTAGGTGTTTATCAAAAGCATTCTATGTGCCTGTTATGTCCAGTGTGTTAAGAAATAAGTTATCAAAAGTGAATAATTTGTGAATATAGAACAGAATTCCTTATATTTCTTCTATTATAACTTTTTATATTGTTTTGTGTGTGTGTGTGTGTGTGTGTGTGTGTGTGTGTGTGTGTTTGTACATGTTGAAGTTGTTCCTTCTACTTTTGATGCAGAGATACGATGGGAAAAGAAGTAAAGTGAGTATGCTTTGATTGGCGGTGATGGTACAGTTAATTGATGGGTGACAGGGAAGCAGATAGCTCAGGATACAGATCTTAGGTAATGCGGTGTAATAAACTGATTTATTCATTGTTACTTTATGAGTTATTTTATTTACAAATAAGCTAGACTGAGCCATGATAATGCACAAAGCTGCCTATAAAACATCTTGGTTTCTCTCTTGTTTCCTGAGTGGGAAAGCCCCTGTTAACCTAGGCACTCACTGCTAGGAAGTATTCTTGACCAAGTATAAACCAGTTTATCAAAAGGTGTCCATGTAACTTTCTGCGCTGGGGGAACTTGGGAGGTTTCCTGTTTCACTAAGAATATTTCACATTGTTAGGCATGTTACAGTATTTTCTACCTGAATATCTTACCAGGAAAAGTCATAATTATTGAATAGTTGGCAAAATGCATCTGTTGGACTGTATTTCTTTTTTCTCTTGAAATTTTGCTATCTCTTTCAAAACAGACACTTTTGGGGCACCTAGATGGCTCAGTCGGTTGAGCCAAAGTCCAACTTTGGCTCACGTCATGATCTCGTAGTTCGTGGGTTCAAGCCCTGCATCAAGCTCTCTGCTGACAGCTCAGAGCCTGGAACCTGCTTTGGATTCTGTGTCTCCCTCTCTCTTTGCCCTCCCTCACTGTCTCTGTCTGTCTCTTAAAAATAAAATATACATCAAAAAAATAAAAACAGGCTTTTTATTAGTAAAAAGCTTTTAATTAGTAAGACTTTTAATTAGTAAGACTTCTGGAACTGAAAATATTATCACATGTTTTCAGAATGCTTCCACATACATTATTGATTTGATCCACAAAATAGCCATTAAGAGGCAGCTGAGCAAAATGTTATTCCCATTTTAATTGAGGAGTAAAGAAGGACTTGGAAGATCTTATGTGAATTTCCTATATCACTTGGATAGTAACCAGTAGGGCTAGATGAGGATACGGGAATATTCTGGTCCACTAATGCTTCAAAAGGTGGAAGGAACCAATATCCATAAAGGTAGAGTAGTCATAAGTATTATGTCATATCAGCAGGCCTCGTCAGTTAGTTAATTATAAATGAAGCTGGACACAATGATAGAACTTGGAATTTACAAGATTAATGCTAAAATTACTTTATGAAATTGTGGCATAGTTTTACTTATTGCTGTATAAAACATTGTTTCAAAGTACAGTGATGTAAAACAACCATCTTATTATGTTCATGGATTTTATGTGTTAGGAATTGGAAGGACAGTGTGGATAGCTTGTCTCTACCCCAAGATGTCTGGGGTCTTAACTAAGAAGACTTTAGGGTTGGGGGTGACTTGATGGCTGGAAGCTGGGATTGCATCTTCACTCAAGTGTGGTGGCTATGCTACCTGTTGGTTGGACTCAGCTTGGCTCTTGGCTAGAATACTCGCATAAGGCTTCTTCCTGTGGTCTCTTTTGTGCTCAGGAGCAAGGAAGAAGTGCATGGTGTTTTTATGATCTAGCCTTGAAAATTATATACCATCACTTATGCCACACACTATTGATTAAAGCAGTCACAAAGGGACATTCAAGTTCAAAGGGAGGGTAATAGAGACCCCACCACTTCACTGGAAGAATGTCAAGGTTATAAGAAGGGTGTGATGGAAGATATTGTTGTAGCTGTCTTTGAAAAACAGAACATACCTTATGGAGGTTTGTTTAAAAAAGAAGGGGTTTGAGTAAAGTCATACCTGATTCATGTCCCGGAGTCATGGTCTTTTTCATTTTTCATTTGCTGCTGTTAACATAAAAGTGTTCATGGGATCGGTGTAGATTTGGTTTTCTGATCCCAAGTTGGAGACACTACTGGGTAGAAAATGTACTGTAAAACCTGCAACTTTCTGCTTGATATCCTGCCATTTTTTTTTTCCTGATTTGTATTAAAATGACAGTTCAGGGGCGCCTGGGTGGCGCAGTCGGTTAAGTGTCCGACTTCAGCCAGGTCACGATCTCGCGGTCTGTGAGTTCGAGCCCCGCGTCACGCTCTGGGCTGATGGCTCGGAGCCTGGACCCTGTTTCTGATTCTGTGTCTCCCTCTCTCTCTGCCCCTCCCCCATTCATGCTCTGTCTCTCTCTGTCCCAAAAATAAATTAATTAAAAAAAAAAAAAAAAATGACAGTTCAGCTAATAGATTTACCTTATGGCAAGTTTTGTGTGCTTTTGGCTGCTATTCTGTCATAAAATTGTCTTGTCGGTGTTAATACAAATTGGATTTTATTAGCATATGCACTGTTTTTTTTGTTGTAAGTTCCTGAAGTTCAGTAATGGTACACAATGATGAAACATCTTTTTTTTTTTCCCCATAGAAACAGGGTAGTTATTTGGTATTATATTTTAAAGGACAGAAAATTGGGCATCAAATAAATTGGCAAAAACTATGTCAGAAAAAAGGCTCTGCAAAAACATGTTAAGATATAAACTGCTAACATGAAACTGCAGATTCTGTAAATTGTACATGTTGGCATATGCTGATTATGGAAGCATTCCAGTTTCAATGTAAGTTTCATGGTATATGGGTACTTTTCTGGGTAGGTGGACTCCAGTCACCCAGGCAAGGCCTCAAATACTGGCATTTGCACTGGGTGAATTGACCAAAGGTCTTGCACCTAGTTTTGCAGTTGTAGATATCTGACATTTTTAGTGCACAAAGAGTGGATCTGTCCCTGGGGAGACAGACCTAGGTTAATCAAGTTTATCAGAATGAAGTAAGAATCACAGCCGTTGGGCAGAAATAACTGTATCCTTTTTGCCATTGTCACATCTTCTGCGTATGTTAAAAATCCTGCCTTTCAGTGCCATTCCTTTTGCTTTAAAGGGTTATCTTTTTAAGGAATTCATAAAAAACAATGTATTCTTTTACCTTTACCACTTATTTACTGTTTGTATTGGTTTTCATTCCTGAAAATTTGGTTTTGAATTTGGTATCCTTTCTTTTTATCCTGGCAGTTTCCTTTACATTTCTTGTAGTACTTGCTTTCAGCAAATTCTCTTGGCCTTTGTTTATCTTCAAGTCATTATTTCACCCTGTTTTTGAAGGGTATTGAATTTTCAGTGACAGTTTTTCCTTTCACCGCTTTAAAGATGACTTCTGGCTTGTGTTGCTTCTGGTGAGAAGTCAGCCTTTATTTGTATTGTTTTCCCCTTGTATGTAATGTTTCTTTTTTTTCCTGACTGCTCTCAAGATTTTGTAGTCATCATTGGTTTTCAGTAGTTTGATTTTGATGTGACTAGGTAGCTTTCTTTGTATTTATTTTGCTTGAGGTTTGATCCTGTAAGGGCTTCCCCCCAATCAAGTAATATTTTTTCATTATTTCTGCAACTTTTTTTTTTATTAACTGTTTGAAAATGCAGAGTGTGCACCTCTAATCTCAAAGTAAATGTTACTGAATTTGACAGTTAAGAGCTCATTGATGCCTTTAACTGTGGATAGAGAGTGGGAAATGGAATTTGCACAAGAAAGAGTTGAGAAGTGAATAGGAGGAATTGAAGAGATGGACAGACATACTATTGTAGCTGCCTTTGTGTTTTTTGCCCCATACTTAGAGTTTTGTTTGACTTTTAGGCTTTCATCATAAATAGCATTCCTTTCTCTACCCTCCTTTTTTAAATGTGCTGGGAAAATAAGAGCCACTTTATGACATGATTTCTAGGAGCATAATTGTTACACTAAACTATGCTTAAATAAAAATGTTTTACTCAAGTTAATGTTTTTCTTGATTTGGTGTGTCTTGTGGAAGGAAGTTTTCTGACACTGGGTATTCAACTGGCACCTTGTTTATTCATATTCGTGCATCAGGAAAACTGGCCACTCACACACACGAGAGCCGTTTGACCTTTTCTTGTGTGTTGTTGCAATACTTGTTGGGAAGCCGCCGGTCTCTATTAGCTTTTGCTTTGTTTTGTTTTAAAGTTCTTCGTGAAGGAAATACATTTCAGTTTTAATAATATAGTTAAGGATGACTTCATTAGGTAATTTTTTAAACTAGATAATCTGTATGCAAATAATTATTATATATCTTAATTTTTTCAACTTAGAAGCTAAAATTTAAAATTTTATCTTCTATGAGTATTCTATGTAATGGAATATAAAGGCTCGAAAACAAAACAAAACAAAACAAAAGACCAAAAGACACCTAAATCTGGGATAGAGATCTGGGGGGAGTTTGTGACTTCTTCAAGTTTTCATTTGAGTCAGTAGAATGAAATGTAATTTTGAAGAGTTGTGTTGTATTTTGACCTTATTATAATTAGTCTGTTAGAGTAATGACTAAATGCTTAAAATTGAGCCTGCTTTAGAGTGACTTTACTTTCATGATTCCAAGATGATTGCAATTTAGTACTTATTTTGGAGTTATTTTAACCATAAAAATTCCAGAATTTGGCAGACTTTATCAGAAGTGCATTGTTATTGCAGATGGTTACATCCTTGTACTTGTTTCGTTTTGGATATTGGAATGTTATCTTTTTTTTTCCTCCTCAGTTCAAAGCAGTATTCAACGATTTCAAGAGAAGTTTTTTATTTTTGCTCTGACACCTCAGCAAGTTAGAGAGATATGCATATCCAGGTAAGAAGAATGTTTGGAATATATGATGTTTCTTCATGAATGTTGTTACATTAGTCCACTAGGGCTGCCATTTACGAAGCACAACAGTGGGAGGCTTACACGATTGAAATTTATTTTCTCAAAATTCAGAAGGCTTGAAGTCCAAGATTAAGGCTTAAGTCAAGAGTTGGTTTCTCCTGAGGCCTCTCTCCTTGGTTTACGAGGATGCCTTCTTGCTGTATGTACCCACTTGACCTTTCTTCTCTGTGTCTGTGCATCTCTGGTCTTATAAGGACACCAGTTGTATTGGATTAGGGCCCCACCCTTATGACCTTATTTAACTGGAATTACCTTTCTAAAGTTCCCATCTTCACAAATAGATTGGGGGTGGGGGGGGTGGTTAGGTCTTCAATGTCAATTTGGTGGGGGAGGGAGGGGACACAGTTCAGTCCACAACAGTTGAACTATTGTTCCTTAAGTAAGCATAGTATGCATTGACTAATGTTAGCCAAATATTTAATAAATACTCTGTATTAGAAAACAGTTTTAACCTTTGACTAAAACCTCATCCTACTTTTTGAATTCCTTTTTGGCAATAACTTTTTTAATGAAAATTTTATTCCAAATATAGCAACATAAAAAAGAATTTGTGACAACAGCCCAAAGTAGGATGTGTATAAACCTTATCATCCAAACTGAGGCACTTTTAAGAGTTAAAGTAGACATCATGTTCTTTTCCCAGAAAAATGAGTACACTGGAACTGTTCTGGGGTGCCTGGGTGGCTCAGTCGGTTAAGCATCTGACTCTTAATTTTGGCCCAGGTCATGATCTCACAGTTCATGAGTTTGAGCCCTGTGTTGGGCTCTGTGCTGACAGTGTGGAGCCTGCTTGGTATCCTCTCTCTCTCCCTTTGCTCCTATCCTACTCCTGCTTGTTTTCTCAAAAAATAAATAAACTTAAAAAAAACCCAAAAAACTGGGACTGTTTTGAGCTAGGCGGTTACCTGGGCCATAAAATTAGCAGAAATCAGAAAACAATTATGAAAGATACTTAGCTTTACCATTTAGAAAAATTGGAGAACCTTAAACACATTTATGAAGAACAAATAAACTAAGATGTAAGAGGAAAGAAAAGGAAGTATGTAGTGTATACTTTTCCAATTAAAAATATAGTCATCTTAGGTGTCAATAACATGACTCTTTGAACTTGTGTTCTTAAAGATACAGTATTAGAAAGCAGAGGCTCTAGGAGGTTAAATGATTTTCTGGGATTGTAAGGTTAAAAGTAGAACAAAGAATTGAGCAAATTAGAGGTTTTTTGCCTCCTTCCAGCTGTTCATTAGAAAGCTCGTCTTCTCTGAGATGTTACTAATTTACAAAAATAAGGTCTGTAGTTAGATTTTGGAAATTCTGTATTTAGCCCAATTACATAAGTTCTTTACAGTTGGACTTTTTGGTCTTTACTATCTTCATGTGCATTGTCAATCTCCCAAGATGGTGAATCCAAACTTAGGGGCCTCATGTCTCCTTTAAGCACACTAACTTCTTGAGGATGCTGTTTTTCTGTAGAAAAGTCTGGGAGAAAATTTTAGATTCTTTCATTAATCATATCACCCTTATCAATATATATAGGGAGAGAGTGCTGTTGTCAGAATCTCAAAATGATTGTTATGTTCTGACCCTGTAAAGTTTGAGCTCTCAAAGAGTATTGCGTTAGATAGACTGCCTCTTCCATGAAGGGGGAAAGTGTTAATAACTAAGTAAAAAAAAAAAAAAAAAAAAAGACAATGTAAGGATTAGTCCAAATGATCCAACATCCAAGTAATAGTTTCAGAAAACATGGAGAAAATCATCACAGAAATAAAATGGTTCCTTCTCACCAAGGGCACATGTAGTAGAGTTTTTGTACATTAGAAGTGCTTTAAATCTTGGGGATTTAAAACAACTAACAAATAAATAGACTAAATTAAAACTTTAAAAATTATGTTTATATTATTAAAATTATATTTTTTAAGTGTTTTTTAAAATTTATTTTGAGAGAGTACGATGAGTGGAGGGGGAGGGCAGAGATTTAAGAGAGAGAGAGAATTCAAGCAGGCTCCACACTGTCAGCAGAGCCTGCTGCAGAGCTTGAACTCCCAAACTGTGAGATCATGACCTGAGCTGAAATCAAGAGTCAAAATACTTAACCTTGAGCCACCATGTGAGTCCTCCCCTAAAATTATATTTTATACCTAAAACCGTATCATTAAGTTTTGTTTGTTATTCATTGATGATCCTTTGCTTGATATCAATGTTTACTGTTTGTTAGGTACAAAGCATATATTATAAAACATGACCTTTTTCTACAAGTTGGCTTGCAGTCTTGTTAGTGAACCAGCCCATATATATAAAATGATCTTGGCATTAGAAGGTCATGAAAAGATCCAATTTCAGTAATTACAAATAACTACTGATATATAGGAGGGATGAGGTTACTATTAACCTTGGTGGTCTTGGAAAGCTTCAACCAAGTGTTGGGTGGGTCTTCGAAGGAAGGAAATTCTTTAGAGTAAGTAGATTTGTTTATTTTTTAATGTTTATTTTTTGTGAGAGAAACAGCGAGAATGCTTGAAAGAGCATGGGGGAGGGGCAAAGAAAGGGAGAGGGAGAGTGAGTCCCAAGCAGGCTCCAAGCCCAGCACAGAGCCTAATGTGGCACTTGATCCCTGGACCTTGGGATCACGATCTGAGACGAAATCAACAGTCAGGCACTCAACCAAATGTAAGTAGATTTCTTTTTACGTTTATTTATTTTGAGAGAATGCCAGCGGGAGAGAGGCAGAGAGAGAGAGAGAGAGAGAGAGAGAGAGAGAGAGTAGGCTCTGTGCTGTCAGCGCAGAACCTGATGCGGCGCTTGAACTCACGTACTGTGAGATCATGACTTGAGCCAAAGAGTCCAGTGCTTAATTGACCAAGCCACCCAGGCGCCCCTAGAGTAAGTAGATTTAAAGATACAGATTTCAAGATACATTTTTAAGTGAACAAAAACAAGGCATCAAAATGTGAATAATATACAACCAATTGCCCTAAAAAGGTGTGTGTGTGTAATTTGCTTTAAGTGCCTAGAATATGTCTGGACAAGTATGATCAACTGCCTCTGGACAGGGGAATTGGATGGCCAGGGCCAGAGCTGGGATGGTCTTTTTCAGTTTATATTCATTCTGTATCTTTTTGAACTTCGAACTATGTGAATTTATTAAGTAGTCAAAAAATGAATGACTAAAATTTAAATAATCTCAATTAAAAACTTTGATAATGTTCTGGAGATGGATACTGGTGGTGGTTGCACAACAATGTGAGTATACTTAATGTCACAGAATTATACACTTAATGGTTAACATGATAAATTTTATCTTATGTATGTTATGTATAAAATTTTTTAAAAAACCTAAGACTATTTATAACCCTCCTTCCAAAGGAAAAAAAAAATAGATCGAACATACACATGTCTAGACAACATCCAGTGTTTACTGAGTTGTGTAATAATACAGTATCTCCTTCATCCTGATAAATGGAAGTGAAAGTTTGGTACCCATTAAACAGCCTCAGTGATTATCAACATTTTGGCAGTCTGTATGTGGACACCCCACCCCCTCATCCCCCCCCCGTTTTTCCTGAAAGATTTTAAAGCAGATCACAAGTATTATATAATTTCAGCTAGAAATATATCAAGACACATTTCAAATCAATTCTTAAATCTAATCACAGTAAAATTAATAATCCTTTAATATAAAACAATGGCTAGCTCCTATTCAGATTTTCTCGGTTGTTTTAGAACTTAAACACAGCCATGTAATTACTTTTGACTTCTTTATCTCTGAAGACTTTAAAAAACTTTATACTTTGAAGTAGTTATGGATTCATAGGAAAGTTATGAGAATATACTCTTTACCCAGCTTTTCTTAATAGTAACATCTTGCATAACCATAAGAACAGTTATCAAAACCAAGAAATTAATGTTGGTATAATACTGTTAACTATAAATTTTATTCAGATTTCATCAGTTTTTCTGTTAATGAACTTCTTTTGCTAGATCCAGTCTAAGATACCAAATTACATTTAATTGTTATGTCATTTTAGTTTCTTTCGGTATTTGACAGTTTCTTAGTTTTTCCCTATTTTTCATAACTTTTGATAGTTTTGAAGTGCACTGGCCAGGTATTTTGTAGAATATTTTTCAGTTTTGGGTTTGTCTGATATTTTGTCATGAGACTATGCGTTTTTTGGCAAGAATACCTCAGGTTATATGCCCTTCTTAATGTATCATATCAGGCTACGTAATATTGCTACATCTTATTTTTGGTGTGTTAATTAACCTCGATCACTTGAGTAAGGTACCCTTTACTAGATTTTGGCACTAAATCTAAGTTGGAAAAACTAAGTTGCTGGTTTTTCCTTTGTTAGTAATAAATCTTAAGGGAGATACTTTGAGACCAGGCACCTGTTCTGTTTCTCGTCAGATTTTTGTCCACCAATTCAGCATTCTCTGATGGACCTTTCCTTCAGCAGTTACTTTGTCCTAAACGTTCTGTGTTCAATGGTGTCGTTTTCTGTTGTCCTTACTCTTTTTCACATTACAGTCATTCTTTTGTAAGGAAGAGTTACCCCTTCTTTCCCATTTATTCAGTTATTTACTTGTATCCGTGTAGGCTCTTGAGTATTCTGGATTATAATGCAGCACTATGGTAATTTATATTGTTCAAACTGCCTTACCTTTGGCCATTGGCTGTTCTTTCCGGTTGGCTCTTGTGCTCTTTGGTATGTCTCCATCTGTTTCTGAGCACTATTACTTTTGGGCACCACAGGATGCTTCAGGTTCATTTTGTCATTTCTCTGCCCAAGTTCTGGAATTGATCACTTCTCCAAGGAACTCTGTTTCCTCTCTTACAATGCTTCTTACTATCCTCTTTGAAAATAGTAGTTCATTGATTCTGTAGCATATTACACATTCTGGATTTGGATCCAGATGCACTTCTTGTGGTGTCATTTAACTTCTATGCCTGTGGTTCAAAATGCTTTGCTGCATATTAGAATCACATGGGGGGCTTTTAAGGCTCTAAATACCCAGGTATTAACCCAGTTTTTCAAGTTCCCCAGGTGTTTCCAGTGTTTCACAAATTTGAGAATCACTGTTGTGCATCCAGCTTCCCCCCTTGCCTGTAATGGTAGTAAGGTCTAAATGAGGCTCTAATACATTCAGGTTTGGGTTGGTTCTTTTTATATTATGTTTGGTGAAGATTGATCAGTGAGTTCAGCTCTCTTCTTGGTTTTCACACTACCCCTTCCACTTGCCTCTCTAATCAGGCCGACTCAGCTCCTTACACTTACATGTTCCCGGGAATCAGTCTGTGATTCTCTTCTCACTACTCCTTGATAGTATCCGTGAATGTGCTTTGTTGTTTTTATGTTGGTGGTTACAAAATCTCTGCTTTGCCCTGGAGTCCTTACTCACTGCCCTGTTTTGATGACTCACAGGCACATCGAACACAGCACATCCAGAATTGAACTTGCCTTCCTCCCAAACCTGCTTATTTGTCTTTTGTTCTTTCACTCATTCATTTAGTCTCACGGCAGATATTTATTTACTATCTATGATGATCCAGGCACCAGGGGTGCAATGTTGAAAAAATAAACTGGCTTCAAGGAGATTTTTGCTTGGTATATTTTCTCCTGTTGCCCATTTCATCAGTGCCATAGGATCTGCCCAGACAGAGCCCTCGTTGTATTATCCCACACTGCCTCCGCCACATCTCATCAGTTTGCTGCTCTCCACTGATCCTTCTTTTATGTCTCTTTTGTGATTTAAAATTCGATGCAACTCTCCCCTTGAGGGAGCTAGCATGGTCTTTAGAGTCATACCAGTTGGAATCGGAATTCTGGCTCAGCCACTTAGGTCTGGATGCCCCTAGGTGGGTAAGTTATTAAAGCCTGTTGAATCCTACTTGTACAGTGTGTAAAATTGGAAAGATAATCACCACCTCACTCTGTGGTTGGGGCGATTGAATGCCAGAACTTGCTTTACCTTTTAACCTGCTGAGTAGCAGCAACGTGAAGCCAGTGGCACCATTCCAAAACCTGGGTCCAGCCTAGATGGTCCCCTTCCCTTATCCTACCTTCTTGTAGCCAGTCACTGAGTTCTGTCACGTTTTTATGCCTAAATATCACTCAGTGATGTTTCTGTTGAAATAGTTTTCATCTTGGCCTATATAGTTGCAGTGGTCCCCTGACTCTCCCAGCTGATCCTGTGATCTTTCTAAAGCCCACTCAGTTTTCTCTCTCTTCTACTTAAAAACCCTGGAGTGATACTTTGTGAAGTCCACACTCTGTTGCCTGGCAGTTGTCTCCAGCTTCTTGTGCCGCTCATCTTCTGTATGCTCACATCTCCCTGGCAGCTTATACTCCCGACTGGGCTGTCACAGCTCTGTCCCTTTGCATATCCTCTTCCTCCCTGTCCTAGGGCATATCTTAGGGCCAGTTTAAAGCTTAGCTCTTCTATGATGCCTTTCTGGATTTCCCCCAACACACACTTTGTCTCTCATTGCACTTTGTACTTAGTTTCTATTGAAGCCTCCTTGCGTTTATTTGAGTACTTGAATTTACAAACTTGATGAAAGCAACACCTTACTCATTTTCATATTCTTAAAGCCTGTCACAGTGCCTGGCATATAGTAATTCCTGCTTCATATCTGATGGATGGGATGGACATGTGAAAGTTCCTAGACCAGTGACTGGTAGAAACTGAATGTCAGAAGATGCTTCCTCATTACTCATCATGTTTGTGAAGATATATAGCCCATTGCATTTCCCAGTTGATGTTAATTTCCCATCCTGGAATAAAGTATAAATCCTTAAACAAGCTATTTAAAACCCTTTATATCATTCTCCCATTTATCCTTGTAGTTCTGTTTTTTGCCGTTTCTCTTTTTCCAAACGTTTCCCACCACTAGATTTTGTTACGTATCTCCAGTTCGTCCTCACCCGATCCCCGCTTTTTTTTTTTTTTT